CACGGCGATGTTCTTGTCGGGTACCAGGCGCCTGGCGGCCTCGACCGCGGTGGCAATGTAGGCCGTCGCCGGATAGACGACCTGTCCCTGAAGCTGGTGGCCGCGGACCCATGGCATCTCGCTCAGCTTGAGCAGGTTCTTCCAGCGCATCTCGTCCTCCGTGACATCTGTCGTCCTCGCGCCGAGCAGTGGATGCGGGGGGTTGTTGGCGATGGCCTTGGCTCTGGACGTGCGAGACTCGTGCCAGTAGAGCCTCTCATGGTCCCAGTGGTATGTGGGGAGGTCTTTGAGGAGGCCCCGGCTGTGGCTGTGCGCGCCGGATGCCGTCGAGTCCACCGTGCGGAAGTCGACTGTCGCGGGAGAAAAGCGGGACCAGAGGTCGCCAAGAGCATTGCAGAACGCATCGACGTCGTCCTTTCCACGGTGCAACAGGCCCACATAGGGCACTGCCTCCCCGTCGCTGCTCCCCCGAAGCGTCTCTAGGACGGGCCCCTTGAGTGCCGCATGGGGACCGATCTCGATGGCCATGTCGAATGGGCCGTGTGCAGCAGCGGCAGCCTGGACGGCCTGAGAAAAGAGCACGGGCCGGAGCAGGTTGTTCACCCAGTACGGCCCGGAGAGATCGCGATCTCCCTCCATGTTGCCGCGCATTTCCGTGTCCTCGTAGGTGCTGGAGTGCCACACAGCGTCCCCCGTCGCGTGTCGAGGCTGGATCTTGCAGCCTCGGAGTGCGTCGAGGAACGCGGCTGCCACTGGCTTCATGTGCGGCGAGTGATATGCCTTGTCGACCTTGACGACTCTTGTAAACTTGCCCTCGTCTTGGAGGATCTCCCTCGCCTGCTCGATGGCGTCGCGGTCACCCGAAAGAGTGACGCCCGTGGGCGAGTTGTACGCGCCGACACACAGACGACCCTTGAACATGGGCAGGTCGCAGAGCGCGTTGGCGTCCTCTGGAGATGCGCCAGCGGCCATCATGGCTCCAGGCTTGTCGGACGTGCAGAGGGTCGAATAGTAGCCCCGGTAGTAGGCGACCTTGACCGCCTCGACTCGGGTGATGTAGCCCTTGGCGTACGCTGCGGCAAGCTCCCCGGATGAGTGGCCGACAATCGCCTGGAAGCTGACGCCTGCGCTGCGGAGGAGATCACACAGGACGATCTGGATCGTGGTACTGAGAGGCTGTGCGTACGCGGCTTCGGCGACGCGAGACTTGGAAGCATCGCAGGTGAGCTGTTCCACAAGCGTCCAGTCGGGGCGCTCTGGCGTGGGCAGACACTGGAGCTCCCGATCGAGGTCCTCGACTATCTTTCTGACATACGGGCTCTTCATCAAGGCTCGACCCATGGTGGGCCACTGTGCGCCCTGGCCGGTGAACACGCCCAGGATGCGAATTGGGCGCGAGAGCTCTTTTGCGCGCGTGCCGAGGCTGGAGCCACTGTTTCGCTCCGACTGTGCCGCCAGGAGGTTGTCAATCTTGGCCCGGAGGTCGGCCGCCGACCCCGCCGGGATGCTGGCGCGAACGGCGTGGTGAGATCTCCGAGCATACAGCGTGTAGGCGAGATCACCGAGATCGAGATTCGGGTGAGATGCAAGGTATTCCGAGTAGTTGGACAGGACCCCTCTCAGGGCACTTCCAGAAGCCGCTGAGAAGTTGAACGGCGCGAACTGCGGAGCAGGAACAAGCTTGCTGTCCCGTGAGGAGGTGGGAGGCACAAAGTTTTCGACAATGACATGCGAGTTCGTGCCTCCAAAGCCGAAACTGTTGATACTGGCACGGCGTGGAACGCCATCCGCGAGGGCCGGCCATGGCTTGGGGCTCGTTGCGATCTCCAGATGGGTGTAGAACGGCGCGATGTTGGGATGAAGCTTGTTGAAGAGCAGGTTGGGCGGGATGACGCCGTGTTGAACTGCGAGAGAGGCTTTGAGAAGGCCAGCCAGACCCGCGGTGCCCTCGGTATGACCGATCACGGTTTTGATGGAACCAACGTAGAGCGGGTCGCGGGCGCCGGCGCCGTGAGGGGACACCCGGTCGCCGTCGCCGGGCCGGAAGAAGGCTTTGCTGATAGCCTCGGCCTCCTTGGGATCACCTGCCGGAGTTCCGGTTCCGTGCGCTTCAAAGTACTGGCAGCGCTGACTGGGGTCCCTTAGATCCAGTCCGGCCTTTGCGTACGTCTCCTCGATGAGCTGGGCTTGTGCGGTGACGCTCGGCATAGTGATTCCCTTAGTCCGACCATCCTGGTTGACTCCAGTCTCTCGAATGATGCACTCGATCTTGTCTCCGTCTGCGAGCGCAGTGCTGAGACGCTTCAAGATCACCGCAGCGACTCCCTCGCCGCGCGCGTACCCGGCCGCGTCGGCATCCCACATGCGAGACCGGCTATCCGCCGACAGCATGTGCAGCGAGCTCTCGGCAATGTACTGCCCCGGCCCCAGGATCATGTTGGTTCCCGCCGCGACGGCCACATCCGAGTCGCCGCTTCGCAGCAGCTGGACTGCCTGGTGGACCGCGACCAGGCTGGAAGAACAAGCGGTATCGATCGTCATACAGGGTCCATGCCAGTCAAAGAAGTAGGAAATGCGGTTCGACACGATGCTCCGGGCGGTTCCCGTCGGAGAATAGGTTGGCACAGTGTCGATGTCGCTGTTCAGATGGTCGAGGTAGTCGGCACACATAAGTCCGACGTAGACTCCGGTACGAGAACCCGCCAAAGATTCGAGCGGGATTCCCGCCGCCTCAAGCGACTCGTAGACCACCTCCATCAGCAGACGCTGCTGGGGGTCGATGGCGGCCACCTCGACGGGTTTGATGTTGAAGAAGCCCGCGTCGAAGTGGCGGTGGTCTTCGTCGAGGAAATACGACTCCTTGACATGTGAGGTTGCGTGATGGGTCGGCTCCGGATGATAGTAATTGTCGACATTGAAGCGAGTCTCCGGAATGCGCTTGAGCACATCGCGCGGCTTGAGCAGAAACCCCCAGAGCTTGGATGGGCTGCTCGAAGAGCCGGGGAAGCGCATGCCGCTGCCAACGACGGCGATGGGCTCTCCCTTGCCAGGCGGAGCGGTGTGATGGGCGGTCATGGTGAATGAGAGATGGTGGTATAGTCTGAAACTTGGTGTTAAAACTTGATGGTCACAGCCCAATGGAGAAGACGCGACCGTGGAGAAGGACAAGGCAATGATGATATCAACAATTAAGACACATGCCTATTTCCATACTTCACCATCGTCGGGGCAATTGCTCGATTGGCTCCTTTCTAATCAACTACCTACCAACCTGGAACTTACAACTAGTAACGAGAACCCAAACGCCTCACCGAAACTTCCATACCCTGGCTGTCTTCCATTTCGGCTTCCAGCACAAGCACGAGCACACAAGAGCATTCGAAGTCAACATGTGGCTTAAGTAACAAGTTCGGGCTCGGAGCTGGACTCGGGTGAGAACTGACCGAGAGATTCGGGGCTCCGAAGGAATAGAGTTGGAAACACGGGACTCGGAACGGAAGATGATCGGGCGAAGAAGCTGAGTCCTGATCACGCACGCCCTCATCAAGTAACTTCGGGACTTTTTCTATCGATTATGGCAGCCGAACCCCCGAACAGGATGCTTTGCCACACGAACTCGGGAATTATTAATAGTCGCTAAAGCACGTCAGCTTCAGGAGGAGGTGGAAAGAACCGAAATCATGCCACAAGAAATATCAGAAGCGGTTGGGCTGACCATCCGTCCGACCCCCATTCAATTCTATAATACCTAGTCCCCGAAAATATGCTTGGAAGGTAGTCCCCGTAGCCATCCCTTTCAGATATCATCGCCCACCAACAGGTCGGCCGAGCGAGGTCATCTCTCGGACAAAAATCAACATTTCTTCGGGCCCATAGAGACAAGAGTACCTTGCCTACCTGCTTCAGCCACGGTAAGTTCCATCGGGCAATGACACCAGTTTCCCTGGGGCAGTGTGTTCAGAGTCCTAACCGTCCTTCCCAAGAGCGTCTCGCACTTCCCTCTCGAAACCATGTCGGCGCGCGTGAGTGACGTCTTGAGCATGGTGTTGCTCGGCTTCAACGTCCTCTGCATCCAAGCCCACATGACCGACAGGTTCACGCCGGGCTTCTCCAGAAACCTTGCGGAGAAGCTGCCACAGCACAACAAGGTCCTCTTCCGGTGGGCGGGCGTCTCGGACTCGACACTGAGGGCTTTCTTCATCAGCCTCAATCTACTCTTCGCGGTCTTGCTCGCGATACCGAGCTACCGGACGCTCGGGCTGAAGATTGCTGTCGGCGGGTGCTGCATTGGGTTTTACTCGGACTTGAAGTTGGGGGAGAGCCCGATCCCGCACCTCATTCTGTTCGGGTTGATCGGCGGTGCGCTGTATCTGGCATAGACAATGTCCTTGATGAGGTCTATGACCGGGGCACTGGGATATGTGCTGTGTGATGCTCGGGCCTAGGTGAGCGGGCCTGGTAAATCACAGCCACGCTCATGTAATTACCTTAGTGTTCCCATTAGGCATCTTGGTGATAAATCAACGTCTCCTAGCCTGTCATCGCTGCATCAGCTACCATGATTTTTTCTTTTTCTTCCAAGAGTATCCCGTTGCGCTGCTTTGCCCGTGTCACGGCCTGGACAAGCTGTGGGAATAGAATGTGGTGTATATTGGTATGTTTGTAAGGAATGATGCTGCCCTAAGAGCGGGGAAGAAGCTATATATATATCTGTGTATGGCCTGTGCGCAGCACGTGACAGCCCGTGTGGTCGATAGACCCGCAAGCCCTATCGGGCCGTAAGTGAAGACCTAGCTACCAAGGACGGGGCATGCGGAACTTCACTTGCTCCTTGAGGTTTTTATTGCGATTCTAGCTTGAGTTGAGCGGGGTTGTTGACCAGCTGCTACTCTGTCGTCTCTTTCGTCGTGATTACGGCCAGCTATGAGCTCACACTCGGCATCCAATCCATTCGCTGCACCGCTCCTCCTCCTCCTCCTCCTAATCATTATAATCATCCATCACAGTGCCTTCAGCGCGGCGATGATGAAGCACAGCCAAGCCGGCAAGTCCGTAGTCAACGCCCGAACCCAATTCATCCTAAGCCAAGCCTCCATCGAACTGACAACATTCCCCTTCGGAACGCCGTTCTCAATAGCTGCTATCCGGCGCAGAGCCATCGGAACAAAGAACATGTGTGCAATGCTGAAAAACAGACCCCATTGGTACCACGTTGTCGAGACAGGTTGATCCGCAGGGACGAGCAGGTTGAGAATGCCCAGAATGTAGTTGACGGGGTAGAATATGATCAGGACCCAGCGCCAGCGATGGCCGCCCCTGGTCCACCAGGCGGGCAGGGTGGAGTTTGCCAGTGTGCGGATGGAGGGCGTGACCCAAGTTCCGAAGATCAGATGCTCGTCGAGGGCGAACATGAGAACCATGGAGGAGCAGAGCGCCGGGCTGAGGCGGAGAAGCCGGATGGAACTTGCGGCGAGGGCCATGGTTGGGAGGTAGGCAGGTAGGTGGGTAGGTGATATCGCCCGAGTTTACAAGGTTGACATGCTTTGAGATGAAGTGGTCTTTGAACGGTAGGCGGCTCTGGATGTCATTCTCAAAGGGGTTCGTTGTTGTTTTGGTTGGTAACTAGGTACCTTGGCCCTACCGCTCCCAGGAGTACGTACAGTGCACCTCGAAATACGATGATTGTGCCATGCAGCTCCTACTCCGTATTTATGTGGCACGATCACCTCCCACTCCGTACCCGTTTGGCACGATTGAATGCGGGATGTTCGCCCGTGAAGGTCTTGGCCCGGGTTAAAAAAAAAAAGTCCCGACTGCAGGGGCAGCAAGTCGGACCCCGTTGGTGGCGAAAGCTTATTGAATTGTCTTGGAGCAACATGCACAGGGGGGGTCGCTGTCAGCCGTTTGGACATGCAGTAAGCCGCCTCGAAGATGCGTGGGCGGCGTGGCAGTGACAACTCGGCCCATGATTCCGTCCCCGAAACTCGAAGAAGATCCCGAACATCCTTTTAAGTTTTGGCCCCTGGTCTCCAATCCTCCCCCATCGTCTCGACTCTCCGATTATCCCCTTGGCAGCCAAAGTTTAATACGTGGTACCTACCTTAGCTTGTACAGTATCAGTGCAATACTTCTCGTGCAGTGATTGGAGCGTGTCTTGAGATGTCCCGTCGCCTTGGGCCGCTGGCACATGCCATGAGCCATGCCTGACCGGCACGTTTTGGAGCAACTTTAGACCTGTGGCTGCTAAGGGGATGAGATGATAAATTGTACTGTATTCGGGCGCGTATTTAGTCAGTGCCAGCTAAGCGAGTCGCGTCTTATCAATATCATCAAAATCATCAAAATCATCAAAACACTACATTTTCATCTACGTGTTTCTCTTCCAAAAATTATCCAAATTACATGCAAAATGGTTCATAAGATACGCAAGACTAAGGGTATCAAGCCACGAGAACCGCGTACAGATCGAAAAGAGCTCGACGATGCAACTCGCCATGGTATTATTATCTGCCACATGCATGAAGATACCGACGCAGACATCGCCCGATTTTATGGTAAATCGAGAAGAACAGTCGCGGCAGTTATAGAAAGGGCTAAAAAGAGGTCAAAGAGGGATCGTATACCGTTACAAGCTCTATCTAATGTTCAGAACTCCCCTGGAAAGCGCCATCGTCCGAGGGTCTTTAAAAGGGTTCACTGGCTAACCGCCCAAACTACTCAACCGCCCAATCAAAAAAACTTAATATTTAATTAACGCCTTAATAAAATTATAATTCCTATTAAATACTAATACTTTATAATATTCTCGACCCCCTAGCAGCTATATATTACTTTAAGACTATGTGATATTGCTAAAATTATTTATTTAGTAGCGTTTTTGGCATTTTCCTACTAATTTTTACCCCGCAATTCTCACTTTTCACTAATTCCTATATATTTAATTAAATATCTTATATAATATCCTAAATACTTTAATAATATATAGCTTAATATAGAAGAGTATCTTAGGAGGTTTTTTGCATTATTATAATAACTTTCCTTATTAAATTTTCTTTGGGATAAGAATTAGTAACTTGTATTTAGTGTGACGGCTGGCGTAAGGGCATGATCTGCTAAGGACAGGATATCAGAAACAGGCATAAAACGAAGCTAAGCCGGAATTACTTGGGCCAAATAATACTAAAGGTCGAGGTATCCTTCCTACTTTGTTTTATAGCTTAGTATTTTCCAATATATGAGATTCTTTAAACTTTGAGCCTTTGACTATTATATTAATCCCGCTATTATATAATACTAAGCTTACTTGACTCGGCCTATAGAGGCAATATAATACTGCTGGCAAAGGACCCGTATTTGTCCTTGGAAAGCGAAGACAGAATACCGCTTTTAATATTTAATAACTTCCTTAAACTATAAAGAACTAGAGAGCTTAGCTAGAAGTATAACGTCCTCTATAACCTAGTTAACCTCGGAGTCTGGCTCTTGACTAGAGCAGACAATGCTCCCCTCCTAGTAATTAGTTCTCTACTAATATAAAAGAAGAAAGATACTATCCTCTATAACCCGGTTAACCTCGGAGTTTGGCCCTTAACTAGAGCAGATAATATTTCCTCGATACTAATAAGAGCAAAAGAACCGGCCCCCTCCCCTAGTATAGGAAGAATTAGTAGTAGTCTATTAATTTAAAATAAGAAAAGATAATAGTTAGTTTTAATTTACTAACTTAAAACTAGATAAGATAATAATTAGTTATAGTTTACTAATATTAAATAAGAAGAACTTACTTAGTACTTACTTCTATAGCTAATACCTTTTCTAAAGCTACTATAAATAGCCCGGGGCCAAGTACTACTACTATAGGTATATTAGATAAGAGGCCCTAGTATAACGAAACGGAGGAGCCGGACTTTAATATTATAAACCTATATTACTAGGAAAGCTATTATAATACTATCCCGGAAGAAGATATTAAGAATAGCTAGCTAACTTGGAACTTAAAATTAATATAAATACTCTAAAGATAGATAAGATCTAGTAGAGATTATTTATATAGGATAACCTTATTAATAAATACTGCCTTATGGCTAATAAATAAATAAAATATTACTAGAAATTTCACTTATATATTAACTAACTTACTAAGAAAGTTAATAAGCTAGAGGCAATTACTAGTTAACTTTATATAAGAAAAAGACTAGTATAAGAAGAAGTAATAAAGTAGAGATCCAAATAGGCAGATATCTAGAAATACTATAGGTTCCTATTAGGAGAACTATTTGGGAGCTAATACCAAGGCTCTTTCCCGCTTTTAATTTATAGTAATTAATTATGGCTTATTAGAATTAAGGATCCTGTCCTATTTATAGGCAAAAATAATTACTAGATTAATAATTAGATATTTAATATAAGAAATAAACTAATATAGAACTCTTCTAAATTTAATAGTAAATTACTAAAAATTACTTATATAGTATAACTAGTTACCGGAGATACCTGTAACTTTATTCGTAATTAACTAGAACCTGGATTAGTTAGACAGATCTCGACTATTAAATAGATCTTTAAGATTCTCTAATAAGCTTATAATAAAAGTAAAGAGATAGAATACTAGGAAATAAAAGAGGTATACTAGTACCTGAGATAAAGAAATAAGCTATTTCCGGTATTCTAGGTAAAGTTTACTTACTTAATAATAAAACTAGGAAAATTACTAGGTAATTAATATAATAATCTAATAGATAAGATGAATCTTAAACTACTTAAAAGCTTGAATAATAAGAAGTTTAACTTACCTAGAGATCTTACTAAGTAATATATAGAATAAGAGAATAGGCTTCTCTTAATTAAGAACTAATAGTTCCAGGAGAAATAACTAGTAGAAACTATTTGCTACCAAATGCTATCCCGAGCTAGGAAGCCTGCCGGAAACCAAGAAGCTACTATAACCCTATATCTAGTGAATTAATTATAGTAACCGGTATACTTATAGCTAAAGAAGGCAGTTTGCCGAGAATTTAAGAAGAAATTAGACCAGTCCGAAGGTCTCTATTATTATAGCTATAAAAAGCCTAGATATATAAAAAATGCCTGTTCTAATTTTAATAAGGTTATACTTATTAAAGAGAATTATTTATAAAAAGCCAATAATTTAGAGGCAGATAACGAGAATACTAACTCCTATTTATTATTTAATAAAGAATATAATATTAATAAGTCAGGAAAAGCCTAGCTCTAGATATAGAAATAGCTTTTCTAAAGTAAGAGTTTTACTAAGGACCTATAAATCTCACTTAACTAATTAGTAGGAACTAGTTTCTTATTAAGTATAAAGTATACTAGAAAGATAAAACTATAACTTTCTAGTACTTAGTAAATACTAGAGCAAATATATATATTCTAATTAACTAAAAGTATATTTGCCCCCTAATAAAAGTACTATAAATGCCCTTATATAAACTCAAAACCCCTATTCTCTTACTAGGTTTTAATAAATAATCTAGTAAAGCTATTTAATATATAGCTATAGTAAATCTAAATATTAATTAGTATTTCTAAACTTAATAATATTTACTTATTACTAATCTCGGCTTTTATAATATAATCTTAGGAAGAAAATAGCTTATAAAATATAATGTCTTACTAGACTATTAATAAAACTAGCTTTACTAGCTAGAAAATCACGGAATAAATTAGCTAGACCTTATTTAGAAAATTTAATATTTTAATAAGAAGTATTAAAAAGATAAGTATCTAGAAAGTATTTTAACTAGAATTCTAAAAGGAACTAGTAAGATAAGACTAGAGAAATAAAAAAACGTGCCTCTTATTTTTTTATAAGATCTTCTTACTAGGAAAGCCGAATATTAGGTAAGGAAAAAAGAGCTAGATCTTAATATTCTCGAAACAGACAAGTTACCGGGCTATTTCCCCTCCTTTATTAGAGTAGCTACTTTCTAATTAAGTACTAGAGATCCTAGTAACTTGATTGAATTAGTTATTATTAATAAAATTAACTATATACTTGAGAAATAAGGCTATAAACTAAAGAGATATCTATTACTACCTATAGTAATTAAATAACTAATACTATAGTTTACTAAATATTATACTTAAACTAGTAATTTTATATATTTTCTAGATATAAATAAACCAGATACTTTTAGTAATACTTTATCTTTTAATCCTAAAGAATTTTAAGAGCTCCGGATATCTCTTCTTATATAGCTATTATAAGGCACGTAATAGCAGGGTAATATACAAGTAGTTAAGGTAAGTAAGCTACAGAGTAATACTTGCAAATATAACTAATTCCAAGAATTAATTCTAATAAGAGACTAATTAATACCTCTTCCAAAGCTAGGAGTATCTCCCTATATATTCCCTAGTACTTAGCCAGGCATATAAAGCCCTTTACTTAATTAGGAAATCCCATATAATCTATATGATTCCGATCGCAAGCTATACCCAAAATAGAAAACTA